TCCAGCTTACACAGGAAGAACTATAGATAAGGCAACCATGACTTTTTCCAAAAAAAGTCCAACATTTCAAGCAAGTAAGAAAAATATATATACATATATCTACTGAAGTCTAAACCTATTTTAAAATAATATGCTATCCAATCAACGTGTACTAGAGGACAAGGAATGCCTTAGGTCAGAGCTATCAAACTCCCGGCCCACGGGCCGGATGTGTCATGTGCTGGCCATGCCCACGTCTGGTTTAACAAAGGGAAAAAAAGTCCTGATAGATCACATGGCACTGCCACGACAACGTGAGTTTGTCACCCCTGCCTTAGGTTTCTTCAAGAATTCAGAGGCGGCTTCCTGAAAGGAAACTGTAACACAGATTTCAGACATTCTTGTATTCAGTAGGTTATTACAATCAAGATAACTTAATTTAGTCATGGCTAATCAGGCAACACTTAAATGTACAACTCTAAAGTATGGATCCATTCCATGCGTATATTTCTAAAACACAAAGGTGGGATATGTGCATAGGATGAAGATAATGAAGTGATTATTATATTAAAAAATCAAAACATTCATTTAAATAAAAGTATGTAACATCTATTATTTCAATAATAAATAAAAGTATACTTTCAAGCAATCAATCACTTAAAAAAGGTTTTCAAAAAGATATGGCAGCAGGATTTATGTCTCTCATTTTTGATAATGAGAAAAAAAATCTTCAAATATGTCAACATGTAAAATAACTTTTGTCATATATTACTGACAAAGTTACATGTGTAGGTGATTTTAATTTACTATTTATCTTTAAATACATTCTTGCTAATAATTTACTAGACTTAGAAGGCTATGCTCTTGATAGTCAACTAAGATATGAAATTCATCTTCACATAAATGCTGTTGAAAAAAAAAAAGAATCTCATCATTTTGAAATAACATGATTTAAGAAGACATGAAAAGTAAAAAATGACCATTTCAAAAAGTGACATGCTAAATATTATGATAAGCTATCTCATGCCTTTAGATTTTTAGACTAGATTTCCCAGAAGACTATACATATTCTATGATCAAGGATTATGAGAGTTATAATACAAATACTTGGAAGACGTCAACTTAAGAGATCATCAGAGATCCCTTGAAAATACAAATATTGTTGATGCAGAGATGTGTTATAATTGACCAACTGCAGATATGCTGCCTCATCATTGCACTGTTGTTCTTGGGAAGGATGAGTGAAAAACAACAGCAAAGGAATCATTTTATACCATACAGGAGAAGGAGGCAATGGTAAATGTAAGTTTTATCAAGAAAACTAGAGGCAAGATAAAATGATTGATGATATAGTGCCAGCCCCTTGGGTTGGATGTCACTCAATATGCAGCTATAGAGTTGAAGATCTTTCATAGTATCAATATGTTTATGATATGGCTGGATTCAATCCTTGGGAAATCTAATTATTAATACTGTCATGCAAGAAAAGAAAATCAGAAACTGCAAAAACAGAATTATATTGGGAACATGGTATATAAGAAAGATGAACAGGGTAAAGCCAGTGAAATATTAAATTAATGGATTATACATTGATATCTTAGGCATCAATGAATTGAAATGCTGGAATGGGACAATTTCAGTCAGAAAATCATATTGTTTAATACTTGGGATGTGAAAAACAATGAATGTGTTTCTTTCGTAGTCAGAAAAAAATGGCAAAGACAATGCAATCAATAACTGAATAAAATTAATTAGATTCCTGGGCAACTTTTCTGTATAATGGTTATCCAAATTTTGTGTCCCAACCACTGATGCAGAAGAAAGTTCAATCTGAAGTAGAGAGAACATGCAAGCAAGATGTATTGGTTATGGTTGCAAGCTGAGATTTCAAAATTGAAAATATTAAGAAATATGTACAGTAGTTGGACTGTATGCCTAAGAAACAGAAATGAAGGATGAGAATGATGAGAATCGCTGTCAATTTCTATCAATGATGACTGTTGCTAACAGTCTTCTGAAAATCAAAATAATGCCTATGTACATTGTTATCACACAGAAATCAAATACAACAAGGTAGAAAAGCTTACTTAAAGCATCAGAAACATGGTCAGATGGTGACTCTGGAACAGATCTATTCCTGTGCATGTTCCAAGTTAAAGAAGAAAGCCAATGGGTTTCCATCATATGATCTTGAGCATGTATCCACCATTTTCAAAGAGAATACTGAAATTCTATACAGTACAAACAACAAGAACCAAGATACTGTAGAACATTTCTCTAAGAAATACCAAAATTATAAAAAAATAAACATTTATAAGAACTGTAGTACCAGAAGGTGAAATTAGATCAACATTCTGGTTATTACCAAATTGGAAGTTTACAGAAATTGGAACATCTACAGAAATATGGCAAGCAACAGAATAATCAATAAATATGTTAACCTAATTATGTCAGCAAATCTGGAGAATTACACAGTAACGAAAGATTGGAAGAGGTCATCCTATATACAATATCAAAGAAATTAGATTTAAAACAATGTGCTAACTGTGATATCCTTAATTTCACCTAATAGGAAAATAGTACCTAGGATCATCTGATGCAGGTTACAGTTGTACATGCCAGATGTTTGAACTGGTTATAGAAAAGGTTGAAGAGCAAGAGGTATCAACAAGGATTTTAGAATGTTCTTAAGAAAATAGGAATCCCAAGATTATTCCATTTGTCTGCTTGCAAAATTTATACACAAAACAGGAAGTCATGATCCAGATGGAAAATAGCAAAACAGAGTGGTTCCAGATCAGCAAAGGATGTATTCTATTGATTTAATCTATATGCTAAGTATATATTGAAGTAGGCTGGATTTAAAGATGAGCATGTTTTTAAAATGGAGGAAGAAAAATCAATAACCTATGTTATGGCAATAATACTATTTTGACAAATGAAGATATTATAATGAAAGCCAAAGACCCAGTGAAAAGAATGGGACTATGCTTACATATAAAGACCAAACTAATGCCACAGATAGTCCAATCACCCTTAAGACTGAAAATGATCGTACAGAAGTCATAACTTCTTTTATGAGATTCTACAAACAATAGTGGAACCAATAATCAAGAAATCTACTGCAAACCGGCACTTATTAGGGTAACAATGAACAGATATTCAGATGTCATGGTGTCTATATATTTACAATGATTAGGATTGAGCAGGCATTGGTTTTCCATGTTACACTCTATGGAAGCAGAAATTCAACTCTGAAGATCCAGGATGGAAAGAATATTGATGCTTTCGAACTCTGATATTGGAGAAGATTCCAGAGAATACCATGGATAGCCAAGAAAGCAAATGAATCAAGAGGGAAAAAAACAATTAACCCATAACTCTCACTTAAGGCACAAAGCATCAAACTCAAATTATTGTATTTTGGATGTGAGAAGACCTCTTTTGAGAAATCTGGAATGCTGAGAAAGATAGAAGGAAAGAGATGGGAATGACAACCAAAAAAATGGACGCACTTGTTTGCAATGATGATAAATACACTACTGGGAGACGTGAAGGGCCAAGTTGGGAACAGATTATCCTTTATCTGTGTGTTCTCTAAACATCAACATTGATTTGATGGCACATAATCAACTTAGCACTTGGACACTTACTGCAAGATAAATTCACCATCTGGAAAGGGCAGATGAAATAATGAAACCACTGATGTTTAAGAGAAATGGTGCAAATCTAACAATGGTAAATTATTTAGGTGAACTCAAACTAAATTCTTTATACAGTATTCTTCCAGCATCTTAGTATATTCAAATGCTTAGTATATTCAAATTCAAAAGCACTACTCATAACCTCACACCATTTAAACGTCGGAGACCCAAGTGTAGTGACATAACTCCAAGAAATACTCTATACAAGCTTCATTTTGTACCCAGATAACAAATCCCAGTTAAGTGTGTACAGACCGATGCACAAAACAGGTCGTTTTAAAGAGACCGTTATAGAAACACGATAACACCTTTTAGAGAAAGGGAAACTGACATCAAAACCCCGAATGTTCAAATGTGTGTGTGTATATCTATCTATCTATCTATCTATCTATCTATCTATCTATCTATCTAT